TTTTATTCACCCGGAATTTTTCCCTTTAATCCAAATTTTAACATTTTTGGTCTGACAGTGTTTTCGGAAAGGGAAGGGGGTTTTTAAATGTCAACAAACTTTTTGGCCCGCCACACATAGCTGGAAATAGTTTGAATTAGTTTATTAAATCGTAGGGAAACCCTTTTTAAAAAGTATTTTAAAACATCTAGTGGGCCATTACAATCTATGCAATAACGGAATGATTATTTTTACCGTACTTGAAACATTTGCTCCAAAATACAAAACATAATACCCGCAAAAAGTTTTTGGGACACCTACCATTCAAGGGTTTTAATTTTCTTTTTTTTTACATTTTAGAATAATACTGAAGAATCAAAACTTGAAATAACCATATGGAATCGTAAAAACAAAAAAATGTTAAAACAATAAAAAAAAAATGTCACGCCCTGACTCAAAGGGGTACCTGGGCTTCACTTTGTTGGGTTTTTTTGTGTGGTGTTTATTTGTTAAATAAAAGTTCTTGTCACGCTGCGCCTTGGTCCTTCTGTTCGAACGATCGTGACAGAAGATCCCCAACCAACGAGGGGCCCCGCAGCGTGTTCAGGGCAACGCCGGGGAAATTAAAAAGGAGGTTATTTAGTAATGTCCCCCGGGTTGGGGAGAATTACGGAGAGGAGGCCGTCCCCACCGGAAGGCATGAAGGGGGTGCCCGGGAGGGGAGGAGAAAAAGGCGCCAACAGTGCCGACGCGGAGACCCGAGAGGGAACCCCGAAAATTTGGGGGGGGGCACACGGTGTGGGCGACGGCAGCGGAGGCGGCAGGCTGTCTGCGGTTGGGAGGAGACCCCAGGTTAAGGGGGTTTTTTGGGGAAAGGGGGCAGAAGTTTTAGGGGCAAAAAGGGGGCGAAAAGGAGGCGATAAGGGGGGAAAAGGGGAGTGGAGAGGCACGGCGAGAGGGGCGGGGTTTGGGAGCAGAAGGAGGGGGGGGTTATTAAAGGAACCAGTCCTGTTCTCGCCCAAGCAAGTGGTGGGTGTCGCCCGCGGTTCGGCCGTTCCGCCCCCGCATAACCAGTGGTGGGTTCCCCCGTAGGTCGGCCGTTCTGCTCTTTCATAAGCCAGTGGGGGGTGCCGCCTTTCCCCTTTTCCGTCCCTCGCCCCCAAAGGCAGTGGTGGCGCCCAGCCGGGTCCGGCCGTTCCTGGTCCCTCCCCAAACCGGTGGTGCGGTCCCCAACCCCGGGCCCGGGGGTTTCCCCCTCGCACCAAAGGGTTTGGGCGCACGCCACCCAGCCCGGCGCCTCCCCCTCGCACCAAACCGGTGGTGCGCGTCCAGCCGGGGCCTGTTCCGGGCCCCTCCCCCAAAAAACGGGGGGCGGTCGCCACCCCGGGGGGGCCGGCCTTTTCCTCCCCCTCGCACCAACCATGATGCGCGTGCCCAGCCGGGTAGGGCCCGTTTGTCCCCCACCAAGATTGGTCCCGGGTATACCCCGGTCCGGGCCCTTTGCTCCCGCCCCAAAGCCAGTGGGGGTTTGTGTCCATCGGCACGGCCCGTGCTTTTCCACCGGTCCCTGGTCCGGAACGGTCATTTGTCCACTCAACCAAGCAACCCGCCCCCCCGGGGTCAAGTCCAGCCCCGGTCAGCGGTCCACTCGGAGTCGAGTAATCCACCCACCGGGGTCCAGTAAAAATCCGGTCGCGGATACACCCGGACCAGAGCAGTGCCCCAGGTGCCCAGTTCGTCCGGTGCTGTCCCCTCCGGACCAAGCAATCCGCTCCCCCGGGTTAGTCAGTTGGTCGCGGCTCCAATCCGGAGCAGTCCTCCCCCGGGGCCCGATCCGTCCGGGCAGCGGCCCACTCCGGAGCCAGAGCATTTGATCCACCGTCGTGGGGGCCAGCCCCCAGTCCGGCTCCATGGGAGCCAGAGAGTTCGATCCACCTCGTGGGTCCAGTCCATCAGGGTTTCCACCCAGACCCGGAGTCCCCCCCTCTCCGGGTTTGGGGGTCTCCCACCCCAGGGCCCAAACAGGGCTTGGTACGCGTGGGAGGAAGGAGAGGGGAAAAGCGCCCCCAAAGGCCCGCCCAGCCAGGTGGCAAAAAGAGGGGAGGTAAGGGTGGTCACCCCCCTGACCGGATCCCCCTGGGGCGGAATGCCACCCGGCCCCACCCGGATGTTTATGTGGGGCGGCGGAGCCCCCCCCCCTTTGGGGGGGTACGTCACGCCCTAAAAGGGATCGTATTTTTTGAGTCGGGTGTGTTTTTCCCTGGTTGTATTTTCTTTGTGGATTTTCTATTTGGGTTTTTTTTTTTTTAGATCTAGAATGTGAATCTATGTTGGCCAGGGTGGTTCCCAATCAGAGGCAGCTGTAGCTCTTTGTCTCTGATTGGGGGCCATTTAAACAGCTTTTGGCACATTGTTTGGGATCTGTCCCTGTAAGGGATGTTGGTATGTACCGGGGCTTTTACGTTTTTGTTTGTTGTTTTGTCTGGGGTTATTCGTTTTAAAAACATGAGCTTCACGCTGCCCTGGTCCTTCTCTTTTAAAAGATCGGACAAATTTAAATAATATTTGAGATTTTCAAATAGCCACCCTTTTTCCTTGATGACGTTTGCAATCTTGGTTCTCTCAACCAGTTCACTGGAATGCTTTTCCAAAAGTTTGAAGGATCCACAAGCGACCACTTGTTTGGGCTTTTTCCTTAAAAAAGTGGTCCGTTTCCCAAAAAATTTTTAACTGGGTTTTAGGTCAGGGATTTTGGGAGGTCAGGTCATCTGATGCAGCCCTCCACACCTTTCCCTTTTCGTAAAAGGTTAGACACTTAATATTTAAATAGATTGTAATTCCCATCAAAAGTAATTTTTGGGACATTCCCCCCCCAACCCCACGTTTTTTTTGTGTGTATATATAATTTTATACAGTGGCGAAAAAAATTTAGCAGCCCCCCAATTGTGAAGTTCCCCTTTTAAAAAAATGAGAGAGGCCGTAATTTTTTATAAACACTCAATATGACAACAAAATTTGGAGAAAAAAAAATCCCGAAAATCCTTGAGATTTTAATGAATTTTTTTTGCAAAATTTTGGGGAAAAAAAGTTTTGGTCACCCACAAAAAAGCAATTTTCTGGCTCTCACAGACCCGTAAACTTTTCTTTAAAGGGGCCCCCCTTTTTGTTTTCTTTCTTTTTTAAAAAAACATTAAAACCTGAATAAATCCCCCCCCT